TTTTTTATTTCAAGTTACTTTTATGAATTTATTAGAATTATTCCATATAAATTAAAAAGATTAACCATAAAGAAATATGGCTTAATTAGTAAGTATTATTAACTGTAACTATACCATATTTTTCATCATTATTATCATTACTAAATTACATTTATTAGGTACATATCACAAGATTATTAAGCTTAATAATAAAAAGTAGTTAGATTTGAAAAAGATTACCTTTAACTTTTGCCAAAAATGAATCTCTATGATGAATATTAATGATAAAACTATTAAGAAAATTCAAAAATTTTTATACTCAATTTAAAAACTAATCTTGGATAAGACTATCACTATAAATTTTAGGATTATGAAAGAAAAATCATTGCCAAATCTGATATCACCAAATTTTTATTGTATATTTTTTAATTATTATCTTCTTTCTTGTTAATATATTCTTCATAAGTATCTATTCAGTCATAATAAATTACTAATAACTGATATTTGGGAGGAATTTTAGTAATTATTTGCAGAAATTGGCTTTGAAATGTATGAAAATCAGAGAATGATCAAAATATCTGAGCTTGTTTAGACTTAAGAGGAAAGAGAGATAGAAATATGTAAGTTACAAGTGGATAAACTTATAAAAAAGATGTGAGATAAATATTAGGTAATGAAGAATAAAGGTGATATAGACATTATTAAAATATTTATTATCTATTTAGATAAATTGTTAGATCTAGTTTTTAAAATAGCAATATAAATAATTTTGTATTTAATTAGAAATAATTCAATAAAATAACTAATTAGATAATTAAATAATCTGTTCTTTTCTTTTTATTAATACAGATTTCTAATATACCTAATGATTAAATATTCTTTAAATAATGATGATTAAGCTCTTAATTAAATAATCTAACTTTCTCTCTTCCCAGACTCTTAAAATAATTCATATGATTTGATTTGACCAAGCATAAATTTTAACATAATTTAAAATCACATGATATGATTTGAATCAAATCATATATCACATGATACTATCCCACTTTAGTGAATTCTTAATCATGTTCTATTACCAGTATATTGATTATCTTTCATATTCAAAAAAATAACTAATAGATGAGTTATATTCTAACTCTTAATTTATTTAATACAGGTTGTGTAATATAGCTAATTTATCTATTCAAACATTCTTCTAACAGAGTCTTGTTTTACATTCAAATTCATAATGAAGTAATGAATTAGTTACTTAGGATTTTAGCACAGATATACTGAGTCATAATTGAATTTATTTTTGTTGGTTATTGTGATTGATATATAAGTGACAAATTTTGCATTCACTAATATTACATATTATATTCTGTAGTCTGAAACTGAAGTTTATAAAAAATATATTATGTCACAGGTTATATCTATAAATTTATCCTTTAATAAATAAGTGTAAAATCATTCATAAATCTCTTTATAAACACTTCAATACTATTCTATTAATATAAAATTATGAAAAAATCTAGCATTACATTCAAAATATTCTCATTCAAAGATATCTTACTGCTTGTCAGAATTATATTCTTCCAGTTAATAATTTTCTACTTCATGACCAGAAATAATTTGCAAGAAGTTCAAAATCAAATTAATACAAAGATGATCTTTACCCTTAAAAAGTAATAAAAAAGTATTTCTGATCTATTTGAAATTGTAAGACATCTTGATTATGATATTTGTAAGATTCAAGATGATATCACAAGAGAGAGTAATATCAGATCTGGCATATCTAAAATAGTAATGCAAGCCAACTGGTTTTTTTTTTGGCTGAGCTCTTAAGCCATCAATATAAGTCACTATGTGAATTTTAAGACTCAACTATTTTATTAATTTCTAATTAGAAAATATTATTTGAATAATAATATGATTTGAACTCATGTTTACTTGCAGATTTGACCAATTATTATTGAACATAATATTTAATATTAATTTTTTCATGATATTTTCTGTGAATTTTTGATGAGTAGTAATGAAAGATGAGAATGGTAGTAGCATTCAAGAATTCAAATAATATAAGTTTCTTATATATGAAGAAGAAATAAGTTTATAACAAGCTCCAGAAATAATTGATAATGATAGTAAGACTGGAATTGAAATAATTCAAAATATACTAGATGAAGTAACATTTGATGAAACTGGAATTGAAATAGTCTAAAATATACTGAATAAAGTAATATTTGAAGAAACTAATGACTCTTTTCTCACCAACTCTACTCAAATATCAGCTGATACTTTTTCCTCTTTCTCAACACCCTCTTTGAGCTGTGCTTCTTTAAATATAAGTAATATAGAATTTCCATCAGACAAGATCTTAGGAAAATGAAAAGCAATAACAAGCATAACTTCATTACAAGTTTCTCATATACAATGAATATAAAAGAAGTGAAAACAAGATAGCAGTTGGTGTTGGTAGTTTTTTAAGAAAAATAATAAACTTGAAAAGTTTTTATGCTCCATTCAGATAGAAAAGTATGATATAATGCAGATATGTGGAAAAGTATATTCACTTTCAATAGTAATAGGTAATCTTAGAAGTTATTTTCACTCTGAATATAGACTTTGAGAAGATATGAATACTCTATCAGTATCTCTTTCAGTTATAACTGATAAATTACAATCTATTCTTTAATAAATATATATCTAAAAACTTTCTTTATTACGTACAAAAAAAAATAAAATAACTTACCAATTTATTACATGACTAGTAAATGATCTCTAATCATTTAATGTACTTATTAATATTAAATTTCAAGAACTTATAAATGAAATTGATGAATATATTGAAATTCCTTGTATTAATATCATCAAAAATATTATGGTTCAATTAGTAAATACTACAGAAGCTCAGCTTAAAACTCTTTTGAATTCAATGATAATTTCCTTTTGGTTTACAATAGATTTTTGGACTCAAGTCAGTTAATTTATTTTATTTTAATAAATTATATTAAGATTATATTTATAAATATATTTTTTATAGGTTCATACATCTTATATCAGTATAATTATTCACTGAATTACATCTAATTTTCAACTTTATCAAGCTCTTTTGACAATTGAATTGTTTTCTTATCCTTATACAAATAATTATATTGAAGATTTTCTTCAAACTATTTTTGCAAAGTGAAATATATCTGATTAATTACTAGGTGGAACAACTGATAATGCAAGTAATATGAAAGTAGTAATACGTCAACTTGGAATACTTCATTTGGACTATACAATACATATACTTCAATTAATAATTGAAGATGATCTTAAGTTTATTAAAGATCTAATCAAGAATGCAAAAGAACTTAACTTATATTTGACAAATCATGATAAGTATAGAGCAAAATTTTATAATATTCAAGCTCAGCTAATTGAAAACTAAATAAGTGATCAAAAATAAATTCTTAATATTCTTAGTTCAGATACTAAAACCAGATGGAATAGTACTTTTTTACTTATTGAATGACTTTTTACTTTGCGTCCTGCAATTGAGCATCTTATAATTCAACTTCAACAAGATCCTAATAGACAAATTCATCATGATAGACAATCTTTAACCAATATTATTTTATCTAATAATGAATAGCTTGCCTTGAAAGAGCTAGTTAATCTTCTTGCTCCATTTGCATTAGCAACTATATTGATTGGTAGTGAATATCCAATAATAAATGCTCTTTTAGAACATTTATATGAGCAAAATCTTGTTATTATAACTGAATCTGTCAAACAAATACAAAAGATAATTGAAGATTCTCTTTTAAAATGGTGGCAATATCCTAAAGAAATTGCTTGGCTTGCCTTAATTCTTGATCCACAATTTAAAAATCTTTTGGATCTGAAAATGACCATAATATGATGTATCAAATTCTTTATGAAAAATTAAATATGGAATTTCCTAATTCAGTCACTAATATTACTACATCACCATTACAATGTACATCAAAGCTGGCTGCATTTTTTAAAGATAAAAATATAATAATCACCAAAAATTCTATTGATATTGAATTACAATTATATTATTCACTTCCTAAAATGCCAAAACATGATGTTACAAGTGATGAATATCAACAAGAAAATCCACTTATTTGGTGAAAAAAATATGCAAGTACTCTACCTATGTTATCAAAAATAGCACGCATATATATTGGAATTCCTGCTACATCAGTACCTGCTGAACGACTTTTTTCAGATGCTGGAAATATAATTACAGATAAACGAAATAGGTTAAATTCAAATATTGTTCATGATTTCTTATTTTTGAAACATAATATTGATATAATTAAGCATAATATTGAAAATTAAGATTAAATAAGAAATTACAAAACTAAATAATAATTAATTACTATTAAATTTTGATAATTTCCTTTTTTGAAATTATATTGGCTAAGCCGGCTCAGCTTTAAAAAAAATAAAAGCTCAGCCAGCTGAAATTTTTCTGACAGCTTGCATCACTAGTCTAAAACGCCTCAAAATTATACTGGTAACATTTCCTCCCAGAGTTCGGAAATCGATGAATTGTTCAAGGAGAAGAAAAACGGCGAAAAGCGGTCTATGGCGAGGTTATATCCAATGATAGCTGAAGAAATAAGGACACTCGTCACAAATCATAAGAAGGGGATAGCATAAAAAATTAACAAAAATTCCGAAAGAAGATACATTAGATTCACTCCGCTTATGGGTAGCAAAACAGCGAAGAATAGTGATGGGCTTGGTAATTGTCGAACGAGAGAATAGGGGTTCAATGTATCTGAGCCTTTTTATTGTGATTTTTTAAACTCAATAATTGTGGCAGATTAAAATGAAATTGGGGTCTTTTTGAATCCTCTTTTAACAAAAGTTACCCTAACTCCTAACCCAAATTCCAAAGAAAATTTCATTTTAATCCGATTTCATTTTAATCTGTCACAATAATTAACAAAAACCATGTTTCATGTTAGTCACACGAGATTCACAATCGATTCCCAAAAAAAATTTTCTCTAAGTATACAATGTCCACCGTTTTCGAAAAGAAAGTGAGCATTGAACAGCTGGAAGTTTTAAATATTTGCTTTTTGATCCCCTGTATTTCACCTTTTCTTTCCTTGAAAAATGGTAAACTATAATCACAGTTTGAAGGTTGGGAAACGGACTTGGATCCCGAAAGTCTCAGCCTCATTTCCGTCCTAAATTTTCGTCGAGGAAAAGATGACTTCTCTTTCGATAAGCACACCGAACATTTAACGATATCCAAGTTCTTGTCATACGTCACAACGAACACAGCAGACGAAAGGTGGAGGAAATCTACTTCCGTTCTTATTGAAGCTCTAAGGGCAAGTATTTATTTTGATGTTTAGATGCAAAGGGTAGTTGGAAGAAGTTGGGCTATTATGTCGAAACAACCACCTAAGTGGCCTGGTTACGCATCGGGCTAGGAATGGGTTATTATATCCGGTGGGCTTCTTCCAAATCTGTATGGGGTTGGGCTATTATGTCGAAACAACCACCTAAGTGGCCTGGTTACGCATCGGGCTAGGAATGGGTTATTATATCCGGTGGGCTCCATACAAAATTACAAGATTTATTGTAACAACAGATTCGGGAGAGCCTGAATATATTTTTCAACTTCTGTTTCTACTCAATCCTTACATTTCTCTTAAGGATCAAGCACAAACTGAAAAGGTTAAAGCGTTCTGGCTGGAGGTTGATCTGGAAAAATCTCAGAAATTGTCAAATGCGATTCTGGAGAAGAAGAAAACTGAACTAAAGCAGAAGGACATGGATATAAAACTAACAAGGGCATGTGACGCTATGATACCGTGAATACACGTATTTTGCAAAAGCCTTATTAATTTTGTTGTTATTTTTCTTATCTGTAGGCCGAGTTTGTAGTGGAACATTCGGTGGCAGGGAACGAAGCGCACAAATTATTAAATAGTCAAAGATTAAATTTTATTGACAGCTTGAACAATTCTATAGGTAAGAAAGTAATACAAGTTTTATTGTGAAAGACTTACGACTAGGGTCAAACTTATTTTTGAAAACCTTAAATGTAGGTCCTCTGGTTGATTTTGTCGATGGTGAAAAAGATGAAAAGGATGGTGATCACACTGAAGTAACTATTTATGACGGAGTATTGTGTGTGTTGTTTTGTTTTGAAATTGCTCATCACAAATGAAATATTTTATAGGGGAACGAGAAAGAACGA